ATATATTATCATATACATTCCCATCAAATATGTATATATATATACATATATATATATATATATACTTCTAAATGCACATATTATTTTATGCACAAAATCACATTCTGCACATACTAGCACGTATCAATTTATCATGCTATCACGTAATCATTTTATCAAATAATCACATATAATTTACCTTTGGTAATAACCGGAACCTGGTTATCACAATAAATTACGTTTTAAAATAAATTGATCTGGTATTTTTCATTAGTATTGATCTAATACAACTCTTCAATTATGATTGATCCAGTAACTCTTCAAGTCAGAAAATTAAAATTTTGGTATTAAAAACGTAATTTCTAAAAGTTTAAGCATGTATTTTCAAGAATCAAGTACGTAATATGTGATGCAATCCGTAGACTGGTAATTTGGAAGCCACGTATACCGACGTGTCTCTTTATTGTCGCTTATGTTATTGCAGTTGCCAATTGCAAAAGACCACGTATATGTCCTCATTTAAAAGACAACCCATCCCACAAATTGATGTATATTTATTAAAATTTAAATTACAAGTAAATTGTGCATAATACAATTTATTAAGTTTTATATTGGAATTTGTATAATTAACTGTAGATATATATAATCAAATGTAGGATAAAATTCTCATTTTAAATATAGCTAACATATAATTAGGATAATTATTGAGTTCTAACAGAATAATTAGTTGTTATATTTATAAAAATTATATTATTAAACCAAAAAATAAATTATTTCGTCATTAAATCTAAACTAAATTATAATAAAAAATTGAATTAAAAAAATTACACAAAAATATGAGAACTTTTATATATTTTTTTAATTTTTATAATATTTTCAAATTTATATTTTATTAAGAAAAACATTATCACTTGCTCAAAACCACATAAATTCGTATTGTACCGTCGACATAGACCAAAAAATAAAATGATACATTGAAATCGAGATATATCTCGTTGCATTGCGCGAGTACACTTCTAGTACTAATAAAATAAAAATATTACTTTTTATGCGTTGATACATCTTTCTAAAACAATCTAAATATTTCTACGGGGCTACTTATTAGTTTATATATTTCTAAGATTTTTGTGCCCAATATGGCAGGGTAGAACAAGAAACCTACAATTAGTCTCTATGCATATGGCAAGCTCATAAAGGTCGGAATCTATCGTAACTTGGCATAGTTGTGGAAGTGGCTAGCATGATCGTATAGGTTTTGCCTTGTATCCTAGCGTGGTCATGCAGAATGCAGATTCACTCATATGGCCCTCTTAGCGCACTCGTGTTTCTTTCCAAAGATAGTATAAACTCCAGTCCAGTCCTCTCCTCCTCACCTTATCTGAGTCTAGGGCTCAATTAGGAGACAGTCGATCTCAATCTAGGGCTCCCCTACCATCGACGCTTCTACGCCACCTTCCACCAACCTGTGACCTGCACCTGCCGCCATTGAGCTTGACTTGAGCTTTTCGATTTAGTTAGTTGTTTGTTCACTTTCTTAACTTGGGATAATGGGATTATACGATCACACGACAAGAAGTTGGAAATAGACGTTCGCAGGAAGCAAATCTACAAAAGTGGCAAAAAAATAAAAATGGTCCCTGAACCCAACCAGACCCAAATCGAACTCGACAAGACCCGAAACCCGTGGATTATCTTTTAAAAAATCAGGGTTTGGGTTCTAATATCCCTCCCGAAACCCGATTGGTTCAAATAGAATGGGGCCTGCCCAGCCCCGACCCGTCCCATGCTCACCCCTAGGTTAAAGTTAATGAAATGTTTTGGCTACAAATGCATATACATATATAGGTGCAGTTAGCTTCCATTGAGTTTCAGATCTTTAAATTTTGAAGTCAATACGATGGTGCATGTATATCGATGATTTACAACCTTGATAAAGCCACATGTTGCAACCATAGTTGGTAAAGACAGGGTGTGAGTTCCATTTTCTGTACATGATTCATATCAATGATATACAAGTGTCCTTGTGCTGAATAAAAACAGTCATAAACTAAAATAAAATTAAAGTACTTAAAACAGATAAAGACAATATAAATTGGCCAAATTACATAATAGGTGAGAGCTAAAAAAAATCACAAAATTAAAACCCACCGGCTCAAGTAACACAAACAGTAACCATCCAACTACATAAACCCGTTATTTAAAAAAAATTAAAAAACAAAATCGTTCGTCCCAAAACCTATCCACCAATATCTTGTGACCATCTATCGATCGTCATGGTACGACCAAACATTGAACGATGGAATAAAAAGCAACGGTGATTGATGAATTAAGTTGTCACAAATAATGAATGAATAGAAGGCTGATTTTGACGAATAAAAATGGTTTAATTAGTGGTATGTAGTTGTAAGTATGACCATGTCGATGCTTCATTTAGTGATTAGTAATATCAATAAACTTCATTAATTGCTGCCTCATTTTGACCTTCTGTCGTTTTCCATACTTCGCTTCACCCATTTAATTTCTCTTCTTTATTTAACTAACATTTAAACACCTTCGTATTTGTTATTTAATTACATTATCAGTATAACTTTAACCACTTTTATTTTCTTTTCTTTTATTCTTATTTTATTAACGGAAAATTGATTCAAACAGTTATTCCATCAATTTAAATTGATCTCATAATCATTCCTCTTTTGAGTTTACCCAAATGTCACTATATTTGTAATATTGCAGACCTGACAAAAAGACAGAAAAAAATTATCAGATTCAACTCAGGTACGTAATTGTAACGGTGCCACTTGCTAACTTGGTGGAATTTGATTTTTTTTTTTGTCTTTTAATCAGGTCCGTAATATTACGGATGTGGATATTGTGGATGTAATGACATTTGGATAAACACAAAAGAAAAATGGCTAGAAGACCAATTTGAATAGATGTAATAGTTATTTAACTCAATTTTTCCAAATAACTATTATGTTATTATTATATATTTTTTCTTAATTTTCAAACTAAACATTATATTCTTATTATCAATCAATTTGTTTGTTTTTTTATATTATTATTATTATTATTATTATTATTATTATTATTATTATTATTATTGTACAGTTTTGATTATTTTAAAACTTAAATAGTTAACTCTCTTAAAAAATGTTTCATTTAATATAAAATTAAATGTTTTAAATTTAACATTAATTTTTCAGTCACCTGCAACAATTATACCACGGATTTTATATATTTATATATTCTTTATTTTTAAAAGATAAAATTTAAAAGTTTGTTATAAAAATATAAATTACAATCATTATAAAATACATAAATCATAACAAACAATGCGTATCATAATCAAAAATAAAAACAATATATTACGATACATTTCGTAATATATTTTAATTAATAAAATAAAAGAAAAGTAATTAAATCGTAAACACCAACAAAATAATTTAATAAATATCACGAGAAAAAGTGGAATAATATTAATTAAATAATATTTTTATAATAAAATTAAAAAAGTTAAAAACCTAATTGTTATGGGTTTTTTTTTTTGGAAGAAAACGATTATTATTATGGTTAAAATTATCAAATAACTTAAAGAAATTAAAAGGGATTACGATTAATATAGGTATGCATTTTAATAAGGTATACATAATTAGTCTATCTTATTTATATTAAAAGGGTATATAAAGCATTTGATAAAAAAACTTTTAAAAACGATTTTTTATGCACGAAATACTGTATATTGATACATATTACTTAAAATTCAAGATTACAAGTAAATTATGCATAAGTACAACTTATTAAAACTCTATGTTTGAATTCGTGTAATTAACTGCGGATAAACAAAATCAAATAGAGGATAAACATCTTATTTTTTTTAAATATAAAAAATCTAAAATATAATTAAGATAATTATCTTTATAAAAAAAATTATATTACTAAACAAATTAAAACTCTATGTTTGAATTCGTACAACTAATTATGGATAAACACAATCAAATAGAGGATAAACATCTCATTTTAAAATATAAAAAATCTAAAATATAATTTGGATAATTATTGAGTTCTAACAGAATACTTAATTATTATTTTTATAAAAAAATATTATTAAACCTAACTTAAGTTACTTTGTTACGCTAAATTAAATTATAACAAAAAAAATTGAATTAAAAAAATGAACAAACAATAACTTTTAATCAGATAATTTGATACTAATATTGATATATTTTTTGTAAATTTTACATGATATTTTCAAATTTATATTTTATTCAAAAATAAAAACATTATCGCTTTCTCAAAACCACATAAAATAGTATTATATCGACATGGATAAAAAATAAAACAAAACATTGAAATGGAAATGTGTCTCGATGTATTCACGAGTACCCTTCTAGTATTAAAAGGGTACTTGCATAATGTAATGAGATACATCTCAATTTTATTGTTTTCTTTTATTATTTGTTTGTTGATATAATACAGTTTTACATGGTTTTAAGAAAGTGATCATATTTTTATTTTTAAATAAAATATAAATTTAAAGATATTGTAATTAAAATTTTGAAAAAAAATATCAATATAGTATCAAATTAATTATTTAAAAGTTCTCGATTTTTGTGTAATTTGTTTAATTCTTTTTTTATTATAATTTAATTTAGGTCCAATAATGAATTAATTTATTTGCGGTTTAATAATATTATTTTTTATAAAAATAATAATTAAATATTATATTAGTTTAATAACTAATCAATTTATTTTTTATTTAATAATTATTATTTTTATAAAGATATTAATTAAGTATTTCATTAGAACTCAACAAATATCATAATTACATATTTAGATTTTTAAAATTTTTTATATTTAAAATTTGATGTTTT